CTGATTTTGATCAGATTTTATAGTGTTCATCTGCTCTACCTACTTTTGCCATTTTAAAGAGAAAATCAAAAGTTGACATTCATGAATTGAAAACCCAAAGACAATAACAATGACTAATAGAATTGTTTTAAATAACTGTACATGTGCATTCATTAACCTAACAAGAGAGCCAGTAGCCCATTAGATATGAGCTCATTATGGTAGCGCATGTCCAGATAGTTGTCCTCTAGGTAATTTTGTCTGTTTATTTATTCATGGTTTATTTAATTATGTAATCTCAGTCTATATAGCATCCAATGGAAGGATGATTTGTGGACAATCAATTGGAAAGGATGTGGAAGCAGTTGTGGCCTAATTGAGGTACTATTCAAACATTTTCTTGGAGGGACTGAGGAGGAAGCTGTCACCATAGTTGTCCTGGTCGACTCAAAACAGGCACATTCAGAATACATGTGTTATTGCTTCAGCCAGCTTGCTAGGTTTCTGTGTTGTGACACCACACCAACAAGTTCTTCCAATATGTTGATATACATCTAAAAAACTGCAAGCTGTCATAACCCAGAAGACCACAATCTGAACACAAACAGTACATTTCTCTCTATGCACTTAATCTGTTGGGCCCACTATCATTATTGTTGCTATTTAGTGCTTTCCTGTTATAGGTTACTTGCTGTTGGCAAGCATTCAAGCAAAGTAACTGAAATGTTGTTGCTGCTGTTATCATCATCATCCAATCAAGTTTAGGTTTCATGTTACTTTATTATTGTTATATGTACTGTTTTAGTTGACAGCATTTAATTCTCGGTCTAGTTTATAGTCTAGCTTTAATTTTGTATAAATTCAGTGCTCACCTGTTACAGGCTACTTCCTGCTAGGAAATGATTATTATTGTTGTTGTTATTATTATTATTATTATTAGTCTGCAATTCGATTATGTCAACTGATGCCAACAAGCTGGAATGCATCCAGCAGAGGTTTGCGGCCCTTTGTTNTACTACATGGGTGTATAAGATAGTGTTGAAAACCTTATTGTGTATCAACAGTAAAATTACTAAACGTGTCAATAATGACATAATATTGTCACTATTGATTTTGTTACATTACATACGTCTGAACTGTCAGCATCAACTACTATTCTTCTTAAGGGTATACTGCTGCGAAAACTTAGATACTCTTGGGACTGCGAAAATTCACTAACGTAACTCATTGCCTTGGGGTGATTATAATTCACGGGAAGAAGAATTTGATGCACATTACTCAATAAGGGTATGACAAATTACACACCCTTCTTCTCATCCGCGAGCACTCCCTATCGTTCCCTAACTCCGTAGTCCACCCGTGTCTATCCGTGTTTTCTTTCTATTTGTTTTCGTTGTAATCGCTGCCAACATATATGCCCCAGTTCTGTACAGCACACTTCCTATCGCTTCCCATGTCCACACGCAACAACAACAAAGCATGGCTGAACAGACTTTCAGGAAATCTGATACTCGAAAATGTTATTAAAATTTATTGATCCAGTCCAGTTTGGGTTAAAACTGGGCAAACATATTGGTTATTTTACACAAAGGCCTGCATGAGTTTTTGCTTGCATCTCGAACGTAACTCACAAATATTTATCGAAGTGAAATGTATTTCATGCAAAAGTTGTAAAAAAAAAAAGCACATTTTATATCAAATATTCTTTTTCATAAGACGGAGTTTTCGAGATAGACGGCAGTAATTTTAATGCTGTGTCATCTCGTCACTTTAAAATTTATGGATCTATTTCGGTTAGTGTTTATATTGGAGGTCACTCGAAAAGTATGCCCATTGCTTCAACTTATGCAGTGCATACAGTCAAACGTTCGTAATTGCCTCGCCTTCTCTTCGTTAACGGATATAATCGTTCCAACTTCTGGGTACAGTTCTAAAGCAATTACACAGCTTTAACAAACAATACAGAAAACTGAAACGTTAAACACTCTTTCGTGGCAGCACGTGTAAGAAAATATGTGTTTCCAAAACATTCAGAATTCCGTCAGTTCTAGCAAGACTTCATGCTTGTGCGCCTAGAAATTTTAATTAGAAAATCTGAATAGTTGGCATCACTGGTGTATAAAATGGAAGTTCCTATCGTTACTATAGTAGCCGATAGGCCGATAGTAAGCGATGGGAATCATTTCTGTTTATACTGACATATTGGTTTGAGGTTTTAGATAATGCTAATCATGTGAGTTTGGTGATTTAAAGAAATTTGAAAGTGCTCGTGCACTTGAATGTTTTGTTCGTCAACATTTATGCAATTGTTATATATAAAATGATAGAATCTTGCACGAAAAGGCGAATGATCTTGGCTATCACATTTCTAGGAGGGCAAGTAAATTATTTTTGCAGCATTACAGTGTTAAAGGCTTTCAGTAAAACATACGTACCAGAAGCATGTTGTGTACTGTAGATTAAGTAGTGTTTTATTAAGTGTATGCAATGGGTATTCGGTTAAAACGTAGAGAACGGTTAGGATACCGCCCAGGGTGGTTCTGATCCCATACTTCTTCCTTTTTTAGTTTGTTTCCTAGCTTAGAGTTTGATTGGCTAAATTCTATTTAATGGAGGCACCATGCAGGATATCACCCTCCTAATCACAAGTTTTCATTTCTCCTGACAGATGGTAGGTCGATGTCACAAAATACAACTATAAAGACACATGCCTTTACATGTAATCAACTTATTGTTTCATATATGATACTGTAAGACCGCCTCTGTGGTCTAGTGATCAGAGTTCCTGGTTACAGATCCAGAGGTACGGGTTCGATTCCCGGCGCTACCAGATTTTCTGAGAAGTAGTGGGTCTGGAACAGGGTTCACTCAGCCTAGTGAGGATAATTGAGGAGCTATGTGAAGGAAATAGCAGGTCCAGTCTAGAAAACCTAAATTAATGGCTGTGGCGATCTGTTACGTTGACCATGCATCACCCTCTGCCCGCAAAAGTTGACACTAACTTCGCCGACAAGTGACGGTCGTTTGGTTGGTATAGTTTGCTTGTGGACTACAGGGCACGGAGTATATGATACCGTAATGCTTGCTAGCATTCAATGCAAAACATTTTGTCTTCTCTTCTGCTGTTTAAAAACATAAAGATTAGAAAATGTGAAACTATAATTTTGCCTGACCTTCTAACTTGGTCTCTGATATTAAGGGAGGAACATAGACTGAGCATGTTAGAGAACATAGTGCTGAGGAGAATATTTGGATTGAAGAGAGAGAGAGTGATGAAAGTCCATGATGTGTATGTATTGACCGTCTTCTCGTGCACACAGTCTCACTTGTCACTTCACTACATGTTTCGGCATCACTGTGCCATCCTCAGGTATGTTATTTACGTTAAACTATTGCACGGCTCACCATCATGTGTCATTTATAAAATGATTTAAAATGTATATTCATCATATACTATAATAAAATTTATATATTAATATTTGTTAAGATTTATCATCTTATACGTCGTATTTCAAACTCGCATATTATATCATTCTTCCACTATGGGAGTCGTTCTTCCTATATTTTGTGTATACTGTGTCTT